AGAAGAAGAAGGAGAAGAAGAAGAAGAGGAAGAAGAAAAGAAGAAGAAGGAAGAAGAAGAAGAAGAAGAAGAAGAAGAAGAAGAAGAAGAAGAAGAAGAAGAAGAAGAAGAAGAAGAAGAAGAGAGAAGAAGGAGGAAGAAGGAAGAAGAAGAAGAAGAAGAAGAAGAGGAGAAGCAAGAAGAAGAAGGAGAAGAAAGAAGAAGAAGAAGAAGAAGAAGAGAAGAAGAAGAAGAAGATAGAGAAGAAGAAGAAGAAGAGGAGAAGAGAAGAAGAAGAAGAAGAAGGATAGAAGAAGAAAGAAGAAGAAGAAGAAGAAGGAAGAGGAGAAGAAGAAGAAGAAGAAGAAGAAGAAGAAGAAGAAGAAGAAGAAGAAGAAGAAGAGAAGAGAAGAAGGAGAAGAAGAAGAAGAAGAAGAAGAGGGAGAAGAGGAAGAAGAAGAAAGAGGAGGAAGAAGAAGAAGAAGAAGAAGAAGAAGAAGAAAGAAGAAGAAGAAGAAGAGAGAAGAAGAAAGAAGAAGAAGAAGAAGAAGAAGAAGAAAGAAGAAAGAAGTAGAGAAGAAGAAGAGAAGAAGAAGAAGAAAAGAAAGAAGAAAGAAGAAGAAAGAAGAAAAAAGAAAGAGAAGAAGAAAGAAGAAGAAGAGAAGAAGAAAGAAGAGAAGAAGAAGAAGAAGAAAGAAGAAGAAGAAGAAGAAGAAGGAAGAGAGAAGAAGAAGAAGGAAGAGAAGAAGAGAAGATAAAGAAGAAGGAGAAGAAGAAGAAGAAGAAAGAAGAAGGAGAAGAAGAAGAAAGAAGAAGAAGAAAGAGAAAGAAGAAGAAGAGGAAGAAAGAAGAAGAAGAAAGAAGAAGAGAAGAAGAAGAAGAAGAAGAAGAAGGAAGAAGGAGAGAAGAAGAAGAAGAAGAAGGAAGAAGAAGAAGAAGAAGAAGAAGAAGAAGAAGAAGAAGAAGAAGAGGAAGAAGAGAGAAAGAAGAAGAAGAGGAAGAGGAAAAGCGTAGGAGAAGAAGAAGAGAGAAGAAGAAGGAGAGCAAGAAGAAGGAAGAAGAAGAGAGAAGAAGAGGTGGAAGAGGAGAAGAAGAAGAAGAAGAGAGGGAGAAGGGAAGGAAGAAAAAGAAAAGAGAGAAGAAGAAGAAGAAGAAGAAGAAGAAAGAGAAAGAAAGAAGAAGAGAAGAAGAGAGAAGGAAGTAAAAAGAAAGAAGAAGCTGAAGAAAAAGAGAAAAGAAGAAGAAGAAGGAAGAAGAAGAAAAGAAGAAGGAAGGAAGAGTATGAAGAAGAAGAGGAGAAGAAGAAGAAGAAGAGAAGAAAAAAGTAAAGAGGAAGGAGAAGCAAGAAGATGAAAAGAGAAAGAGAAAAAGAAGAAAGAAGAAAAGAAGAGAGATTGAAAGAAGAGAAGGGGTTAAGAAAGAAGAAGGAGAGAAGAAGAAGTAAAGAGAAGAGGATGAAGAGGAAGAAAGAAGAAGAAAGAAAGAAGAAGAGAGAAGAAAGAAGAGCGAGAAGAAGGAAGAAGAAGAGTAAGAGAAGAAGAGAGAAGAAGAAAGAAGAAGAAGAAAGGACGAGAGAGTAGAGGTAAGAAGGGAAGAAAAGGAGGAAGAGAGGAAGAAGAAGAAGAAGGAAGAGCAGATAGAGAAGAATGAGAAGGAGAAGGTAGAAGAGTGAAGGAAGAAGAAGCAAGAGAGAGGAAGATGGAAGGGGAAGGAGAAGGTGAGAGCCCAAGCAAGAAGTAAGCAGAGAAGAAAGCAAGAGAGAAGAAGAAAGACAGAGGTGAAGTAAGAAGAAGAGAAGACCGAAGGTGAGGAAGAAGAAGATACTAGAAGAGAAGAGAAGATAAGAGAGAAGAAGAAGAAGAAGAAGAGAGAAGAAAGAGAAAGAGAGAGCGGGAAGAGGGGAGAAGCAAGAAGAAAGAAGAAGACGAAGGAAGAATGAATAAGAAAGAAAGAAAGTGGAGAGGAGAAGAAGAAGGAAGAAGTTGAGAAGACTGAGAGGCTGAAGAAGAAGAAGAAGAATGAAGTAGAAAGGAAAGAGAGAAGAGAAGAAGAATGAAGAGAAGAAGAAGAAGAAGTAAGAACGAGAAAGAAGAAGAAAGAGAAGAAGAAGAGAAGAAGAAGAAGACAAAGGGAGGAGAGAGAGAAAGAAGAAAGGAGAAAGAGGAAGAGAGATGAAGAGAGAAGAGCGAGAAGAGAGAAGGAATGATTTTTTCCCAAAGAGAAGAAGAAGAGAAGAGAGAGCGGAAGAAGAAAGAAGAGAAGAGAAGGGCGAAAGAAGAAGAAAGAAGAGAGAAGAGAAGAAGAAGAAGACGAAATAGGGAGAGGAAGAAGAAAGAGAAGAGGAGGAAGAAGAAGAAGAGGAGGCAGAAGAGAAGACAAGAAGACAAGGAAGTAGAAGAAAGAAGAAGAGGGCGAGAAGACGAGAGAAAGATGCACGTTAAGACGTCCAATGGTGAAGAGATACGAGGAAGTGGGGAAGGGATAGAGAAGAAGAAGCCGAAAAGAGAAAGAAGAAGAAAGAGGAAGAAAGAAGAAGGAAGAAGAGAAGAGATAGAGAAGAGAAGGAGAGAGAAGAGAGAGACGGAGAAAGAAGAAGAAGAAGAAGAAGAAAGAAGATAAGATAGAAATTCCCCTGAAGAAGGAGAAGAGAAGAAGGCGAGAGAGAGAACGACCTGCAAGGACACGAGAGAACGGGGTGAGGAGTGGGAAAGGAGGAAGGGAAGAAGAGAGAGAGCTGGGAAGTAAGAGGGGACGGGGGGTCGGGAGAGAGAAGAAAGAGACGAGGGAGAGATGGGAGTTGGCGAGTAGCGAGAGGAGGTAGCGATAAGAGATAGAGGCAGAGGGGTGGACGAGAAGGTGAGAGAGCGCAGTCGAGAGAGGAGGGCGCGGGAATAGAATGGAAGTAAGAAAGAGCAAAGGAGGAAGGGAGATGAAGGAATAAGTATAGAGTACAAGAAGGAAGGAAGGGTAGAGGGGGCGAAAGAAAGAACGAGTTGAAGTATGAGAGGAAGAGAGAAGAGAAGAAGAGGGGTGGAGACGGAAATGAGGGGGGAGCAAGAGGGGAAGAGAGAGGGCATTACGAAGAGGGGGAAGAGAAGGAGGAGTGCAGCGAAAGTCACAGAAGAAAGCGAGTAAGAAAAGAGAGAAGGAAGTGGAGATAACCGAAACACGTAGAAGGTAGTGAAAGAAGAAGTGGCGAAGATAGAAAGAAGAGGGAAAAAGAAACGCAAGAGAAGAAGGGGGGGGGGAGCGGAGAGAGAGAGAGAAGGATGGAGAGGAGAAAAGAAGACGAGAGAGAAGAGATAGAAGAAGGGGGAGAAGAGAAGAAGTGAGAAGGCGAAAAGGAGGGTAAGACAGAGAGAAAAGAAGAGGGAAGAGGGAGAGAGAGAGAGGGAGAAGAGGATAGGAGAGGAGGAGGGGAGATGGGAGATAGAGAGAAGAGAAGATGCGAGGACGGGAGGAAAGACGAAAGGGAGAGGAGGGGAAAGCGAAGAGAGACAGAGAAGATGCGGAAGAAGAATGGAAGGGGGGGCCAGAAGCGGAAGACGAGAACCCACCCTCCCCACGACACCCGAGAAGCCCCACCAGCCCCACACGCCCGAATGAAGAAAGATGAAGACGGAAGGATGGTAGAGTGAGAAGGACGAAGAGAGATAGAGAGAAAGAAGCGGAAGGAAGATGAAGAGACGAGAAGAGAAGGAGGGCGAGAGCAATTAGAGAGAAGAGAGAAGATGAGAAGGAGGAGAAGGGAGAGGTGAAAGTAGGCGGGGAACTGGATCTGATGGGGAAGAGGGGGGGAGTGCAGGTAAAGAGGGGGGGGAGGGCGGTGAGTAGGGGGATGGGGAGGAGGAAAAGGGGGAAGTTGGGAGAGGAATCGTTCGTTCAGAGCTCAGGGGGAAAAGTGATACAAGGATAGGAGTCCAAACACGGCCCAGGAGGGAGGTGGTAAAAGAAGGGTAGAAGAGAAAAGAGTTTCCATCCCTTCAGAGGAAGGGGACCTTTTAGACGGGAGATAAGTGTTCTTTATTTATTGTGTTTTCTTTCTCTAATTCTCCTTTGTCGTTCTTCTTTTTCTTCTTCTGTTTATTCAGTCCAGATCAGGCGGCCTCTTGTTATTAGTAGTTCATTACTTTATAATTATTATTTCACCACTGTAATTATGACAACTTTGTATGTTATCTGTATCAGTTCATTACTTTAATTATAAGTGCTCTTTATTTCATTTGTAAAAGTTCATTAGTTTCAGTGTAAAATCTCGTTACTTTATTTTTATCAACTCATTACTTTAATTGTATCAGTTTTTTTTTTTCCTCAGTGCCAGTTCATTATCCTAATTGTGTCAGTCTCGTATGCTATCTTTGTATCAGTTCTTTACTTCGTAAGTAATAATGAGTTGAAAAAGAAAAAAAGTAAAGTGAAGATTCCTTTTCACTCCTTTAGGCGTATCGGGTATATTTTTACAGACCATCGTCACTATGTGGGTAATGTGGTCAGCATTACGCCGGCCGACTTTACTTTCCCAGGATAGCCATCCTGGTACCCATTGTAGGCTGGGTCGACCTGTGACGCCCCATACCCTGATAAAAATCCACGCAGCCAGCAGTGGGTTAAAGTAATAATTACTTTATGAATATTGTTAATGAAATACTATTTTTATCACTCGATAGGTTTAAAAGTTAATTCTTACATTTTTTTTTTAGTTAGACCGGTAAAGCAACTGACTGTGTCAATGAACATTCTTGATAGAACGGATGTTATTTACAATTCAAACATAATTTGGACATAGAAAGTCTTAAAGAAACATTTGTAACAATCTTGTGCTTCGAAACATAAGCAGGGTTGAAAACCACACACGGTACACCAAATCATATGCCAGTTTGGATATCACACAATAGTGTGGCCACTTTTATGCCAATTTGAGTGTAGCGGTTATAGAACACGGCTTCAAGCTGGAGCTGGGTGTACCTCGCGAGTTTCTAGATGATTCTGAGGGGTTGGGCGACTATCTAGAGGACGATGAGATGACCTTAGACATCCTAGAAACAGCTGCCACCCTCAGCTGCACTGGATCAAATAACAGCCCACGACAAAAAGTGAATCCAGTGATACGCCGATCAAGAATGGATAGCAACGATTCTGAAAACAGCGGGGGTTCGGGAAAGTCACAAGAATCCCGAACTCGTAAACCGTCAAGAAAAGGTCCTCCCATGTCAGCCCCTGGATCCCGGGGAGGATCCTTCAGGGAACGACCCCAAAGTTCGTCTGAAACTCGACGCTCGCCCACCCCGCGAAAATCACAGAAATCGTTAAAAACGAAAAGTGCTGCTTTGACTTCAAACCACAATTTAATTCGTGGAGTAGAACGAAACAGAGAAATTGAAACCATGGGCCCTAGAAGAAATTCAATGCCCAACGTCTCCGGGAACTTTCTGAAAGTCCCTATTGCCGAAGACAAAGACTCCAGGCTAAGGCGCGTGAGATCCTTCAAAACAACCTCAAAAGGTATTGTGGTCAACAGAGGCGATTCCTTTAAGAAAAAGAGCACCCACAGTTTAATGTCAACAGGAAGTACTATAACCGAACCCCGACCACAACACGGAAACAGCCAGCAACAGCTTCAGCCGACCAGCATAAGTAACAACCAATTTACTCCTGATCCACCTGCAACTCCCACATACTACAGAGTTATCCTAATGGGCGCGGCTGGATGTGGAAAGTCCTTGATGACCAAACAGTTCATGACGTCAGACTATGTTGGAGGAAATGACGACAGTCAAGGTAAGATGTCTGTTGGTTCGTTTGAAGTCAGTCGGGGGGGGGGGGGGGGGGGCAATCCTCGCAATGAAGTTAGTGAAATATTTGGGTTTTCATCATTGCACTCCGGACATGTCCATAAGTGCTCAGATCCTCCCCTCAGTAAGAACCTAGGGATCTGTGGCTATAAGTATCAGTTTTGTTGTTGATTTACAAGTCATCTGATGTGTCTGGTGTGTGTCTCGTTTTTCGCTATGCCGATCTTAACTCCCACGTCTATCATTCCGGCGAGTGATGTGGATTCACTGCCCCCCAAAGTCCTCCACTCTTCCTATGTCTCGGAAGGCAATAATAATATAAGCATTATCCACATTCTGGCCGTCAATAGTGATAGCGGATCCTGACAACCTATCAGCCCTTTTATTTCCGTCAACACCAGCGTGTACCGGCATGAAAATAAAAGTGACTCCACACATAGTGGACTTCTGGAGGTTGGCTGCGATGCATCTCTAACACCCTCTCTTCTCTCTGGCTGTGACAGTACACTGCCCTCCACCCCCACCACCTCCCTTTTCCCTATAAAATCTATAAAGGGCCCAAGCGAACCTATTTACAAGGTATAGAATCTCTCTTTATAAGTATGTGTTTACACATTTTATTATGAGCTCGTAATTCCGAGGTAGCTGGTTCGATTCCGGCTGCAGTCGAAATGGGTCAGCAGATCGCTTTGTATGCTTGCGTGCTGTTTATCCCCTCCGGACTGATACCTGAAGAGGATGACTCCCCCCCCCCCCGAGATCACAAGACCTAAGTATGGTTAACCTGTCCCATTAGAAGATGTCTCAGGGCCAGTGGTATTGCAATAAGGGAAGCTGGGATACCCTGTTCAACTCTCCTGACCCCTGAGACCAGAAGACGTCAGTATGGCTGACTTGTAAGACTAGGTCCTGTTCAACCTACAATGAAGTTAGAGTTGGAGTTTAAAACTTTGGTAAAGAAAAAAGAACTAGTAAATAGAATTGAGTCTCTGGAGATGAGAGTATACAGAAGTTTGAGGTTTGAACAACGGATCAACATCATGGCACACGGGTAGTAACCCATAAGTGCTCCGTTCTTCTTCTAACTCAAGTCTTAGCCCGAAGAAGCTCAGCACAGCGCACAGGTTCTGTAGCACCGGCGAGGATCCTGAAATACTTTGGGTAGATTTTAAACTCAAAATTTTGCCCGGGCAGCCTAGTTAGGCTATTTTTTTTTTACTTCCAACTGCTAAGATATTTTTTACGTGCGCAGCAAACAATGCATACTGGCGTCTGATCTCACTACCCTGAGACCAGGGGGAATTACTAGAAGTCTAAGTCCACGTGAAAAAATCGCAGCCCATACCGGGGACTGAACCCGGAACCTCTAGCACTTGAGGCGGACACCATACCTCGGGACCACACAGCGCCCGTTCAACGTTCTATAACAAAATACGCAACTAACTTTAATAATTTATATTGATTTTTCGTTTCCGTTTGCCGGCTGTAAACCAATGCGGAAAGACCTGGTTGTTCGTCCATTTTTGGACCTGCTTAGTTCCAGGGTCTGAGTTTTGTGTGCGCATCCGTTTTACAGATCTTAATTATTTGTGAGCAGACTCTTCGTTCCTTGCTTCTCAGACAGATGCCACCCGCCTTCAAAGAAAGCTCCCAATTAGTCGCCTCTTTCGACACGCTTGTTAGTGAGGCAGTGGGTCTATTCTTGTTTTTCCCACAACGGGACCCTGCAACCTTTGGGGAGCGGGGATGGGGGGATTTTATATTATTTAAAAAAAAATCATTAAATGTAATTGCCTTTGAGCACATTATGATTATTGTTATTACTCACGGAAACAAGGCTTAAACCCCTTTGAGACCCTCAAAGCCCAAGAAAATTTGCAGGGGGAGGGGAGGGAGGAGGCCTAGATTCCTCCCCGTCGCCTCCGTGAGGCCCTCTTGTATCGAAAATTAAAATATAGAGCCCATATCCCGCATTCAAAATACAGCTAGCAAGTTTTAGGTCACATTTCGTGCAAAATTCCTATTCACTTTTTAAGTGCCCAGATTGGAAAGCACATACTGACAATTTAACCGTCTGCCATGACGGCGCCGAAAGTGGACTGGGCCGTTAAAAAAGTTTCCAGTCAATTACGCCTAGAGTTTTACGTTGGTTTGTTATTAATTAAAAAAAATAAAAAAAAATGGTGGCGTCTAAACAATAAGGACTGGCTTCAATGGATATCTTCTTCTTCTTCTTCTTCTTCGATTCTTCTGACACATTATTTATATCAGGAGGCCGGTAGCCTTCTTCTTCTTCTTCTTTCGTTCGCCTGAAATAAGTTGTCTATATCAGCAATTTTGTCTCGTATAAATTTCACTGTTGTTGTTAATTCATTCAGTGGTCCACAGAGTTTACGTTCCACTGTTGTTCTTTCTGGCCAAAAGGTTTGCCTTAATGTGTCAAATTCGGTGCAGTCCTGGAGTACATGCTCTGCTGTCTGGGGCACCTTTCCACAGGTGCACATGGCTGATACGCCTATCTTGAATTTTGTGTACATGTGGTTACGTAATCGGTTGTGCCCTGTTCTGAGGCGGAGGATAATGACTTGTTCTGATCTGTCCAAAATAAAATAGTCGTCTTGTGCTGGGGCTGGTGGTTTCCTGATTGATTTAATGATTCTTTTCTTTTGGTGGTATGTGACTGGTACATCAGGCTGCACCTTTGTCGCACCTTCTCCTGCCAGTTGATCAGCTTTCTCATTTCCAGGCACTCCACAATGTGATGGTATCCACTGCATTACAACTCTTTGCTGAAGGCTAAGTTGTGTCAGCAGTGTTTGCAATTCTGGTAGTTTCCTAGACTGGAGTGCTTCAAGTACTGATTTTGCATCTGTTAGCAGTACTACATACTGGGAGCACTGCTCCTGCCTGAGAGTCCATCACAGGGCGAGCACCATATCGATTTGCTGATTTAGACATATTTCCAGGGCCGGTAGCCATTATGAAAGCTATCGTGCAGTCCATATCTTCTCGTGTACCACAGTTGTGTCTTCATTGCGGTTGCAACAGGCCAGATTGCGTCTCTGTTGTCAGCATACAGTTGACAGTGTTGGAGCACATGTTCAGCATTTTCGGTTGCCAGGTTGCAAGGACACATCACCGAGTTTCCTACACCGATAAGTTTGAACACATGTTGAGGAAGTCTGTTGTGCCCTGTTCTTAGTCTAAATATTATATACTGTGCATCGCTAGAGAGGCGATAAAGCGAATCTTGAGGAGAGAATTTGGTATCCTGCCATTTTCTTGGATACTAGATGGTATTAATGTCTTAGTCTCTTGGTGGGTTGAGTCCCTATTTGGTTGTACCATGTCACAGCCGCTTCTAGCCAACCTGTCCGCTATTCCACTGCCTTCCAAGCCACAGTGACCTGTAATGTACTGCATTACAGATTGTTCTACTGAAGAACCTAGGTGAATCAGCTGTTGCGTCAAGTCTACAAACTGAGTATGTTCTATTATTATTATTGATGTAAGTGCACATTGGGCTTTGCATGCGCAGAGGGATAGCAATGTGAGGTGGTTCACGGTGTGTTGGAGCACAACTAAAAGAAATATAAAGAAAAGATATAAAACCGAACGAAAAGTAAACTAGCAAGCTTCACAATATATCAAATACAAACAAAACGTGAACGTTGCGGCTATGGAGCCTTCATCAGCACATCAACTAAAAGAGATGAAGCTTTAAAACAGGTTTTCGAAAGCAGGGTCTTACGACGATTCTTTGGACCCATCAAAGATGCCAACAGCGGGGAATTTAGAGTGAGAAACAATAAAGAAATTCATAATCTGTTTAAATCAGCACTGATAACTGGCATTATAAAAATTTGATAGTCTCAAATGGTTTGGGTGTATTGAAAAGATATCAGGTGATAGAGAAGTGAAAATGTACACACAAGATGAATGGTAGCAGACCACGAGGCGGACGATGGAAAGATAATGTCCAGTCAGACCTGCGAACACTTGGTGTCACCAACTGGTAAAAGAAGGCACTGTGTGTGTGTGTGTGTGTGTGTGTGTACGCGCTTGTATGTGTGTGAATGGAGGCCGGTGATATCTGCAGCAATGAACCTCAAAGGCTCGGAATGCCAAAGAATATATATATATGAAACATTGTTGCCATTTTGTCCCCCTTCCCCCTCTCCATGCGATGACACCCTCGCGGCCTACACCCCCCTCCCCCAACACTTTCCTATACCGCTGACCATGCGAACCTCAACTAATTGTTTTTCCAGGAGTCAGTTTTTCCTGTCGTGCCCGTTAGCAAGTTTCCACTTATTTGAGTCCAGATGTATGAATGCGCTTCCTAATACTGGGGGTGCCGGGTTCGATTCCAGCCTCGTTCCAGCTGCAAGCCAATTGGCAGCAGACCCTCGTGTTTTGTTTTCGGCGGTACCGACAGCCGATCGTTTAGAAAGCAATGGCAAACTACAACAGTTAAAAACCGTTTAGGCATGTTCTGTAACGTCCTTTAAAGGATACTGTCTCGGGGAATCTGAGATTTCCCTGGAGAGTCCAATATTATGGGCGAGGGGGAGAAGGGTTAGTGTTAGTCAGAGCTCATTTCACACCGTAACACCCCTGTAATATTGAACTTTCCCCCGGAAACTCTCGGATTCTCCACCCCCCTCCTATCTCTGCCAGATCGGTTCTGAGATAACCGTTTCTCCACCACAGAATCAAAAGTTCTCACTCACACACAAATCAGGTACTACGCCTATCCAATCTCTTTTGGATTCTTTTCTTCTGCCAAGTAATTATTTACTGCTCCCTATACGCCCCACCGTCTGGCGTTGGAGATCATGTTACTTCACCTTCGTTGTTATCCAGCATTGTTTTCCTTACTTTTATTCTTCTACAATGCTGGTTTGTTTTCCTCATACTGGTAAACATATAATCTATGACTGTATGTTTTACTTTAACAGCCAAAAGTAGGTATGTATATGTAAA